ATTGGGTTTTAGAAATTGAATTGTAAATAACTGAACAAAATTTAGGGTGGGTTGAATAATAGTGAAATAAAGATGAATTTTTGTTCGTCTGTCACAGTTTTTACAATTGCACCACATCAGCCCAAGCAGTCTATTGCACTTGCCAACAAGATAATCAACGTGCAAAGAAAAACTACGGGTGCTGTCAATAAAAATACCAAGATCCTTCGGTGAATGCACCCTGTTAATGGGATTGTCATTAATTAAATAATCGTGCATTAATATGTTCTTTTTCAAGGTTTGTTTCTCAAGATTTACCAGTGACAAAGCCAATTTGACAAGAGGCAATGACAGGAGAATATGGTTAAAAATAATCCTTTCAAACAATTTAGAGATGGTTGGTAGCAGCGAGATCGGTCTATAATTAGAAATAGATTTCATGGTTCCCCCCCCCTCCCCACTCCTTGTGGATAAGAACTAGATTTGAACGTTTCCAAAAAGTAGGAAACTGTCCAATTTGGAGAGATCTATTAAAAAGAGTGGCGATAGGATAGACAAAGGACGAGAACATACTTTAAGGACATGATTACTTATCTTGAAAATCCAGACACTTTTAATACATCAGTACTGTATAACGCAATTCATTGGAAAAGCTTTAAAATTGGACTTTTAAAAGAAGTTCTATGTATCTGTAGTTTGTAGCAGGCCATAGATATAACTCTGGTTGGGCTACTATACTAGAATATAGGGCCAAGCGCGTGGGGTCACGATTAATTTACTTTACGCCACTACCATGTATATTATTATAGTACTGTAACAAAAAAAAAACAACATTTTTCCATTGTCGGAATTATAACTCAACGTCCTATGGCAGTGTGCCAATGTATTAGAAGTAGGCCTACTTTTTTAATGTGTATGTCAAGTATGTGTTTTATTATGTAAATTACAAAAAGCAAGGGTGTGCAATAGTTTAGTTAGTACCAGAGTAGTTAGCTCTATAATTCAACAAAATTGTTTTCTTTTATTACCTTTGGACATCATAGTTAAATTGTATTTTTGAAATTTCAAATTACTATCAAATTAATAGTATTATATACTGTAGATAGATTGGGGGGAGGGGGAACAGGCATTATTTCATAAATTAAACAAAATAAAACACTGCTGTACTGTATGCTTTTCTGTGTTTCTTTTATTAAACACCACCTCGCAGCTATTGCTGAATTACATGGTAATCAATATTAAAATTTGTAAAAGAAAAAACAAACATCAAAGTAAGACCATAAAGAATAAGAACATCTAAAAAAACACCATCAAACAGTAAGAGTAAATTTTTTTTTTTTAAGTGTTTTAATGGAACGTTAAAATTAGAAAATAAAAAATATATACTGATTGTATTAAGGTGTTTTTACTGTATAATGACAATGATTATTATTGTTATTATTACTATTGATTTACTTATTAAAAAAGTTGAAATAAGTAAAGGTTTAGCATTTAGTTTCCTGATACGTAACACGTCTTAGATTGATAATTTCAGTTATCAAACTATCAGTAATCTGGTAATCAAACTTCTGTAATAAAACATGTAATAAAAAAAATTATTTATAATATTATTAGTACATGAACATTTATAATTTTACATTTTCCTGTGGTATATTACACACTGTTGCTTTTTACAGTCATAAACATACTGGATATAGGCCTACACATTTATTTAATTTATAATTCCGACGATGGAAAAAAGACTTTTTATTTTTTATTTTTTTTACAGTACTGTAATATTATGCAAGGTAGTCGCAGTCCATACGCGTAAAGTAAATTTATCATGATCCCACGCGCTTGGGCCTACGAGTAACTAGCTGCAGAGTCTGCTAACTACAGGTCGAATAAGAGCCTCATTTTGGTACATATTTTGCGACCTCCTTTGGACCTAACAGTTGTATTTGGACATAATAATTCCTCCCTAAAACACAAATAAAGTTAAGTCATCTTTTAAATTATATTCATCTCTGTCACCGTTGTCCATTATGCCTCGCGGAAGCCATGGCAATACGCGGTGTAACCAGCGTGACCACTCACAATTTTGATATACCCAATGACTGGGTCGAAATTACCCAAGATTCAGCAAAAATTGCCCAAAATTACCCAAGCTTCCTGAAAATGCATTAAAATTTGAAAAAAAACCCCGTGTTTTTCGCATGTATAGTTTCCCTTTTAGTTCAATTTATAACCATTTTTTATTGTAATTGTTTGTGTTAATTATGAAAATTAATATTCATGAGGTGATAATACAGATAGAAAAATACGCTCTCAGTCGGTCAGTGTTAACAGTAGATCAGTGATCAAGTTTTATTATGTAATGCATTAATTAAGTAAGATCAATGGCAACGCAAATCACAAATAAACAATTCTGAACCCATGTTTATAGCAATTAACAGACAATTAACAGTGTTATGTGCACTTCGTTGTGTTTTGCTTACTTGAATAAACTGACATACTTTGTTACTTCGTAACTCTTCCTCTATGACAAAAATATTAAATTTTCTTAGTAAAAATAAAATACCCAAGGATTTCAACGGAATACCCAAGAACCCAAGACCAAGTCAAAATACCCAAGATCTTGGGTAAATACCCAAGCAGTGGTCACACTGGGTGTAACAGAGCGGCAGAGAGCGAACAAAAGCGTAGCCCTTCGGTAATGAATATTCATATTAAAGTATAGCGCCACCAATCAACTTGGCTGGGACGTCTAGGGGAAAAAATCGCGCGCTTCCTGCAGAAATCGAGTATGGGACGCCAAATAAATTAGGTATGGCGCACAATAAGCACAATAAAAAGTGGATAACACAAAATTAGGGCCTGGATACTCTTTTCTGGAACCCAGCCTAATTAATGTTATCAGTTCACATAAACGACCTAGAATAGTACCCTGCCTAAATACCTGACAGTTGAGTTTATAGAAACACAAATATTTATATTTCATATTTAGTACTTAGGAGCAGTTTTTCCTTCTTCCTCGAGTGGTCAACATGCTTTTTAAGCACACATGCAACCCAACCAGCTATCCATTTTGCACCATCTCCCTGGCTGAGAGAAGAAATGTACGGTACATTGGCAAATGTACATAAATTCATTTCAAAGTCTAGGCCTATAAGCTGATTGCATAATGTTCTTTGACTCTTCTAAGCAAATTTATAGTCACTGTGTTCAATATTTTTAGTTGGCAATCTGCTATAATTTAATATCTATACATTTTAGAAGAATTTGACCTAATTCACTTTATATCGGGTTCTTTTGGACATAAGTTGACGAACGGGTGTAATTATTTACAATGCTAAATAATTCCCTCGTATTTTGCATCTATATAAAGTCCTCGGAAGAATATATTTCACAAAAAAATTTGTCAATGATTTAACAGAATTGAAATTTAGATTTAATTTCTTCCTTTCTTAAATTAATCTTCAATTCCATTACCATCTAATTTTACAAGGAACTACTACTACTACATTTTCAAAACGTCTCTCGTATCAAAAGTATGTTAGTTGTTAGATGCAATTGTGTTCAATCCATTAGGATTTAGTTGTTCAACTGGTGGTGGTCCGGCATTCATTCCTGCAACATAATCCAATCAATCAATCAATCATTCAATCAATCAATCAATCAATCAATCAATTAATCACTTAATCAAGCAATCAATTTTTATTTTTATTTATTTATTAGGATTTACATATGCACACGTATCCGGAAGATCATCGTAACGGCTTAATAGCTCACAATGGACTGATAATCGTAACGGTTTAATACGTCACAATGGATTGATTACGTAGCGTTCTATACGTCATACATGATTGATAATCATAACGTTTTAATACTTCGCACATGGTTGATAATCGTGACGGTTTTTAAATTTGATTCAATGAGTACTATTCTTACCGTGCAGCATAGTAAACTCTTGCTGCAGTGGCAACGGAGCTACGGGATAGGGATTTGGTTGTTGAACTGGTGGTGGTACGGCATTCATTCCTGCAACATAATTTTATCAATCAATCAATCAATTAATCACTTAATCAATTTTTATTTCTATTTACATAACACACATATCAGGAATAACTGCTCAAGGCGCTTTTCCTCTTGCTATTGGAATGCGCCACCTCCTCTGCTCCCTTTTTTAATACGTCACACATGATTTATAATCATAACGTTTTAATACCAATGTCACAAATGATTTATAATCGCAACGTTATAATACGTCACACATGGTTGATCGTTTTAATACGTCACACATTGTTGATAATCGTACGTCACACAGGATTGATAATCACTTTATTTGTGACGTATAAAACCCACTATGGAGAGAGACCCCTCTCTTATCGAAACCACTCAATACCTGAAATTGTTACTCACGAGCTTCTGAATGAGAGGTAGGTCTAATACTGTTTTTGCTATTTTTCTCAGTTCTAGTTTTACTGTTTTGTTATATGCTTTCTTTGTATGCTTTGTTATATATTATCCTGATGCGCTATTCTTTTTGGAGGTTTTTTTTTAAATAAATTTAAATTTGAAAATTTGAATAATCATGCTGTTTTAATTTCACACAAAATTAATAATCATATCGTTCTAATATCGTCAAACACACTTGATCGTTTTAATACGTCCCACATGATTGATAATCGTAACATTCTAATACGCCACATATGATTTGAAATCATAACGTTTAAATACGTGACATATGATTCATAATCGTAGCATTCTAATACGTCACATGATTTGTAATCGTAACGTTTTAATACGCCACACATGGTTGATAATATTAACGTTTTAATCGTCACATATGGCTGATAATCGTAACGTTTAAATACGTCATAATGGATTGATAATCATAACGTTTTAATACGTTACACATGATTTGTAATCGTAAAGTTCTAATACGTCACACACGAGTGATACTCATAACGTTTTAATACGTCACATATAGTTGATAGGCATAAAGGTTTGTCTTTACATTTGATTTAATGAGTACTTACCGTGCTGCACAGTGAACGCTTTTTGCGGCGGCAACGGAGCTACGGGATAGGGATTTGGTTGTTGAACTGGTGGTGGTACAGCATTCATTCCTGCAAAAAAAATTTAATCAATCAATCAATCAATTAATCAAGCAATCTATTTTTATTTATTTATTAAGATTTATATATGCGCATATATCAAGAATAACTACTCAAATCGCCTTTCCCTTTTTATTGAATATACAGAATCAGACACAACACGCAACCTCCTCTGATCCCGTTTTTAATACGTCACATATGATTCATAATCGTAATGTTTTAATACAGTACGTCACTGGATTGATAATCACAATGTTTGAATATGTCACACAGCATTCATAATCGTAACGTTTTATTACGTAATATATGATTCGTACTCGTAACGTATTAATACGTCATACATGATTCATACTCGCGACGTTTTAATACGCCACGCATGATTGATAATCATAACGCTTTAATACGCCACACATGATTCATAATCGTAACTTGTTTTTAGTTTGTTCCCTATGATTCATAATCGTAACGTTTTAATACATCACATGATTCGCATTTGTAACGTTTTAATACGTTACACACTACTGATAATCGTAACGTTTTATTACGTCACATAATTAGTATTCGTAAAGTTTTAATATATAAAAAAATAATAATCGTAACGTTTTAATACGTCATACATGGTTATTAATTGTAACGGGTTTTTATTGTGATCCAGTGAGTATTATTCTTACCGTGCTGCACCGTGAACCGTTGTTGCTGCGGCAACGGAGCTACGGGATAGGGATTTGGTTGTTGAACTGTTGGTGGTACGGCATTCATTCCTGCAACATACGGTAATTTTATCAATCAATCAATTAATCACTTAATCAATTTTTATTTCTACTTACATAACACACATATCAGGAATAACTGCTCAAGGCGCTTTTCCTCTTGTTATTGGATACAGAATCAGACACAATGCGCCACCTCCTCTGCTCCCTTTTTTAATACGTCACACATGATTTATAATCATAACGTTTTAATACCAATGTCACAAATGATTCATAATCGCAACGTTATAATACGTCACACATGGTTGATCGTTTTAATACGTCACACATTGTTAATAATCGTACGTCACACAGGATTGATAATCACTGTATTTGTGACGTATAAAACCCACTATGGAGAGAGACCCCTCTCTTAACAACGAAACCACTCAATACCTGAAATTGTTACTCACGAGCTTCTGAATGAGAGGTAGGTCTAATACTGTTTTTGCTATTTTCCTCAGTTCTAGTTTTACTGTTCTGTTATATGCTTTCTTAGTATGCTTTGTTATATATTATCCTGATGCGCTATTCTTTTTGGAGGTATTTTTTTAATAAATTTAAATTTGAAAATTTGAATAATCATGCTGTTTTAATTTCACACAAAATTAATAATCATATTGTTCTAATATCGTCAAACACACCTGATCATTTTAATACGTCCCACATGATTGATAATTGTAACATTCTAATACGCCACATATGATTTGTAATCATAACGTTTAAATACGTGACCAATGATTCATAATCGTAGCATTCTAATACGTCACATGATTTGTAATCGTAACGTTTTAATACGCCACACATGGTTGATAATATTAACGTTTTAATCGTCACATATGGCTGATAATCGTAACGTTTAAATACGTCATAATGGATAGATAATCATAACGTTTTAATACGTTACACATGATTTGTAATCGTAAAGTTCTAATATGTCACACACGAGTGATACTCATAACGTTTTAATACGTCACACATAGTTGATAGGCATAAATGTTTGTCTTTACATTTGATTCAATGAGTACTTACCGTGCTGCACAGTGAACGCTTTTTGCTGCGGCAACGGAGCTACGGGATAGGGATTTGGTTGTTGAACTGGTGGTGGTACAGCATTCATTCCTGCAACAAAAGTTAATCAATCAATCAATCAATCAATTAATCAAGCAATCTATTTTTATTTTTATTTATTTATTAAGATTTATATATGCGCATATATCAGGAATAACTACTCAAATTGCCTTTCCCTTTTTATCGAATATACAGAATCAGACACAACACGCAACCTCCTCTGATCCCGTTTTTAATACGTCACATATGATTCATAATCGTAATGTTTTAATACAGTACGTCACTGGATTGATAATCACAATGTTTGAATATGTCACACAGCATTCATAATCGTAACGTTTTATTACGTAATATATGATTCGTATTCGTAACGTATTAATACGTCATACATGATTCATACTCGCAATGTTTTAATACGCCACGCATGATTGATAATCATAACGCTTTAATACGTCACACATGATTCATAATCGTAACTTTTTTTTAGTTAGTTCCCTATGATTCATAATCGTAACGTTTTAATACGTCACATGATTCGCATTTGTAACGTTTTAATACGTTACACACTACTGATAATCGTAACGTTTTATTACGTCACATAATTAGTATTCGTAAAGTTTTAATATATAAAAAATAATAATCGTAACGTTTTAATACGTCATACATGGTTGTTAATTGTAACGGGTTTTTATTGTGATCCAGTGAGTATTATTCTTACCGTGCTGCACCGTGAACCGTTGTTGCTGCGGCAACGGAGCTACGCTGTTCAGTGCGTTACTCGTCATCACAACCTACAGCAAAAAATCAAAGAATCAAGTTGGCATGGCTCTATAATTGTCTGAATATAAGATTAGAAGTATAGAACCTTTATCAGTGACGGTCAGGTTATTTGAAATAAATATTTGAAATACAATATATATATATAT